TATATATATATATATATATATATATACAGAATTGACTATTTTTTGTTCAGCTTCACTATACAACAGTAATAAACATTGCATTCTAAACAACAACTGCTTATAAAGACTTGTCTTATCTTTACCAGCCCTAGCAACATGTTAATGAATTCCAGAACTTCTAAGAGGAAGGGATGTCATGTACCATATTACACATATAATCAATAACTCAGAACCACTAAGCAAATTGACATGCTTAACTTCCAAAATGCTTTTACAGGGAATCCAATTGAACACTATTTCAGTGGAGGAAAGTCTCTAGCAGGCTTAGTAACAAGGAAGACGCATCTGGGCATTCTAGTCCCTGTGCAGAAATTGAAAGACTGGGTTACAACTTGATCAGCTGCCACACTTAAGGAAACAGTGAGTTCATCTAAAAGTAATCCGATACCTTAGGAACAATATCCTGCTTATAATTACACAGTCAACCTACTTATTATATAGGGTACAGTATACTATACCTAGACAGTCAATAGCCCCAACAAGTAATTTATCAAGTATCTATAGTTAAAATTATGTTTTACTTATATCAGATCTAGTATTTGTTGACAACCACAAAGTGTTTCTACAGATGTTCAGCATCCAATTTATACATATAGGGACTTTTTCTCTAGAGATAGAAAATTCCTTTGATATTATGACTTGTTCAACTAAACAAAATATTAAATTAGCAATAATCATAAAATTATTGTATCTCGATAAACAAACAGACTGCACCCACACATCACCACTCAAACAGGGTTTGAAATTGTTGCTTGGCTGATACCGCTTTAGTTAAGTAGATACTTGTGACATCTCTATGTAAAAGATAAACAAAAAATATATATATATATATTATACAAAACTACATTATATACCTGCAATGACAAATGCCTTTATTGCAGTTAAATTAAATGTGAAGAATTCTAGTAATATTTGTAAGAACTGGCCAATCCTTAATAACAATACGTGTACTTTATTACTGCTAGGAACTAAAAAAACCTAACATCTCATTAAAACATCAACTTCAACCAGCTCTACTTACCACAACTCTACAGGTTTGACAAACGTACTGCTAAACCTTGTTTAAAATGTTAAAAACTACGGTCACAGCTTCTCCAAATCTCCACTACAAAATTTTGGCCCAACATGCTCTGCATTTTTAATAATGTTGTCCAACAATATTTAAAAAAAGTTAGGCTAGTGAAACTACAAAGCAATGCTATAATTATAATATCAAGAGCAAACTTTATGTAGTTTCTTTCCATCTGTAATTATTTTTTGAGTGTCAATATATACTTAAGAAATGCTAACCAAATTTTTGATATCTGAAGTATTTTAAAACAAAAATGTAAAAAAAAATGTTTAGCTATGTTGTTAAACACACCATTTTCTTATAATCTATTTACCCATGGCTTGTCTTTTAATGTTTTGGTAGTAAAGACATTAGGGGATAGACACACAGTAACTTGAAAAAAAAAAGATATTTAATATTGTTATTTGTTTTATGGCTAATTATGCCATCAGCAGATATACATAATGACTGATGACTTTTTATGTTAAAAGAAATCTAATCACCTATAGCTTCTTTACAAATAATCATTTTATAAAAGGTAGAATAGATGTTTCAACTTCACTTTCACAAAAATAGTATCAAACTACTTATAATTTCTAAAAGATGAAAAGAAAAAAATATTAAAGGAGAGTTCTCTGCAAAATTAATGATCTGTGGCCATACATTAATAATAAACATACAAGTATATATATATATAAATATATATAATACAATTATGCACTTCATTTGATTCAACAATTCTTACTGCAACAACAAATGCATATACTGACTAGCTACAACAACAAGACATAGTGAAATGTCCACGATAAAAAGTTCAGCAGATTAAATGTTTTGGCTGATACAATAAAGATACAAAACTGAATAGGAAAAAAAAAGCATCACAATATATTTAAAACTTATGAACCAATCTATTTCCAATTAATATTTGACATAAGCTTGCTTTATTTTGTATAGTACTCTAGCCCATATGTAACAACAGGAAAAAAAAAAGAAAAACAGTACCAATATTTTATTACAACTTAACCTTTACTGAAATTCATCATCTGAGCTTAATAATGTGGTCTTCTCTGTGTAGTTCTGGTTCATTGGAGTAGCCTGTCTTCCTTGAATGGTGGTGGGGCGACGAGGGCCACGTGATCCTCTGTCAACATTCTCATCCTCCACACTACCAATTCTCATCCCCTGTACAGCTCCCCGGTGACCCAAAGCAGGGGGAGGAGCAGTGTATTGGGTGTACTGTTGGTACTGAGGGTGGAAGTTATGAATGGCATCATTCATGATGTCCTTTGGGTTCATGGTCTCCTGCAAAATTTCATAAAAATAAAATACTGAAATACAGTATTATTAAATCACCACTTGTAATAGATTTGTAATTAAGACACTAAATACAGTATTCAACTTGAAATTCACAGCTTGACATATAACTGTCCTTACCTTTAGACTGCTTGAAATGCTCTGCATGGTGACAGATCGTCCCTGAGATTCCTGTTGGTAATTTTGCATGTAAACCTGATATGGAAAGGCATACCGCAAGGCTAGTGAAGCAAAGAACATCTCAATACAGATAAGGAAGTTCTGATAGCCAGCAGACACAGTACCAGCACTAGCCATGGATATCCCCTGATTAGAATAGATGGGAGAAATCACACCAGCATTCTCTAGCACTGCTAAGATTACACCTGGAAATTAACACAGAAAGCAAAAAAAATTGAAAATTAATTAATACTTTTTAAAATTCAACATATATATTGACAAAGCAAAGGCAACATTAGGTGTAAATCTGTTTTCTGATTTTAGCTATACTTTTTAACTGTTTTTAAATCTTAGCATTGTTTGGTTAAGTAAAACATCTACAGCATTATGCTGTTTATTGAATTTTGTACAAAGCTACTAGAGGGCTATATTCTCTAGCCATCCCTAATCTTGAAGTGACAGACTAGAGAGAAGGCAACTAGTTAACACCACTCATCACCAGTTCATGAGCTACTCTTTACCAGTGAATAATGGGATTGACTGTCACATTATAACACCCACATGACTGAAAAGGCAAACATGTCCGGTGATGTGTTTGAACTAGCAACCCACAATTTGCAAATAGAGTGGCCTAAGCACCAGACCATGCCAAGCTTCACTTACAGTAAATACTAAACAATTATGTAAATGTTATTGTATTTTACTTAACTATCATTTTTACTTTTAACTAATTCATAAACATTTTAGTTTCAAGCTTAAAAACTTTTGAAACATATGTGCACCCAGAAGTATGAAATTGATTCAGAAATTTATTTTGTGATAAATCTACCAGACAGAAATAACAGAATAAAACTGCTACACACTACAGTTGACTTACCAAGTTATTAACTGTAAGGATTTTAAAGTTAAAATTTTAAATGCACTTACATATGCATATGTGTAGCTGTAATAAATTTTCATAATTTATGAGGCTTTCAACAAAGTTACTAATATTACACAGAGTGAAATATATGTACATCATACATTATTTGCAGTATTGTATACTGATCCTTCAATATGAATTACCATGTCATTAAAAAGATCTTTTCTATCAGAAATTGACAACCAACCAAAGATCATTAAAAATTTTTATAATGTCTTAGAATAGCTATTTTGAGCCTGAGGTTCAATGATAATTAAAACATTTAATTTTGTTCCCTTTTTTTGTCTATGAGTAATCCTTTGATACAAGTTATTTTCAGAAAGTAATCAAATGTTAACTCTCTCCACTAAATATATATAAAGTCACCTTAGTTTATTAAAGTATGTTAAAAAAACTGCTTTTTTTTGTTTCAGAAAAAAAAAATCAAATAAAATGTTAACAGCAACTAAAGTGTGGCTCTACTTGCATGTATGTTTACCAACTGGTGGCCTAAAACAGAAATATTGTTTTAATTTTTATGTCAGGTGAATTACATCTTATCTCTACATTGCATTTTTAGATATTATTTTCTTTTACTTTTTAGCATGAAAATTATCTTCTTACGGATTATGAAACTTGAATATTCAAACTCAAACAGCAACTTTTCTATCCTTTTGGTTTGATGATAGTTATGAATATATAACTTACATAGGAAACTGGCAAAATCAGTGACCAAAAACCCATATTCAAGTAGTATCTCACTGAAATTGTGTGCATGAAAATATTTATATACAAATTATAAATCATTTTAGCATGACTAATGACTGTAAAGGTAAGATAATTTCATACAGATCATGGTTTCTACAGTTTTATTTCTAAAAGAACAAAAGATGGAATCTACTAATGAAAAAAAAACAGAAAGATAAAATGTCAGAATTTCCTCATCATTTATCCTAATAACAAATCCAGTTTTAAATGTTTGTATTAATTTTTAACAGAAGAAAACATCTTTATACAGTACTTCATGACATATTAAAATATCTAAGCAATACAAGTTGAAGAAGAGTTGAAATATAGGTGGCAGGGAAAGGGTGGGGGGAGTCAGGAAACTTGTGTGAGCACAATGAGGCAAAATGATGCATACTGTGAATATATCAGGTGAACTTGAGACTATTTAAGAAATGTTTTCAGATACATGCAGTATTCACATTAAAACATTTTTATGAGTAAATGCACTGATTTTAACACCAGAGATAAAAAAACTGCTTTATAATAAATCCTAGGCACATAGATTAAAATTACTTTTATGTTGCTCTTATAATCCCTTTCACTAAAGTATTATATAATAATTTTCAATATGACAGATCTTTTGTCTGCATTTTGTTTTAATTCAACACTACAACATCCACATCATTTGCTGTGATATTGTGGGCAAAGATGTTTTGTTCCACTGTATGGAATTGACCAAGCAGCAGTCTGACTCGGATGTAGTAAAGTCTATCTTCAAGATCTTGTACTATGAGGAGGACCTTGTGGCAGCAAAAACAGTGTGGACAAAACAATGCAATGAAAAAACATTCAATTGTTACTACAGTTATAAAGTCATAAACTTTAAAAAATTCAAAATTCTGTTGTTTTTATGATTTGTGTAAAAATATAAGGTATCCCATTTTTTTCAAGTGTCTTGGTTCACCCCAGGACCAAAACAATTAAAATGCTAATGCAAACACTGTACTTGGCCAGGTTTTGTTCTTGTTATGGGTTCTTTTTTCAAGAAATCAAGATATTGAAATAAAATCATAATTTACATGAAATTTTCTTATAGTCAGTGGTTAAACATGCTAAAATGACTTTCTTTTTTATAATCACCTTATTTGCATATGTAAAAATCTTTTATTTACACAACAGCTACCCCTCTGAACAAAATGTTAACATCTCTAATTTTGTTTCTGTTTACCCTATTGACCTAAAATTGGTATAAAAAATTACATTTTTTTCTTTACATTTCAATAAGATACTAACTTGAAAACAAACTATAATAAATACTTTTGGTCAATGATCTTGACAATCCTCCTTTCTCTTTTGTTAACTTAGATTAAAATATTTTTAATAAGTATTAAAATTTCATTAGGGCTTTACCTATAATTCTGATTCAGATAGACGTGATTATACACGTGAGTTATGAATGTAGTAAACTGACCAATTGACCACTGCAGTAATGACATTTTGCATGAATTAAATAAGCTTTGTACATTTCTTGTTCCAAAATAAATTGTATATTTAAACAAAATGTTTTGCTTGTTTACATTCAGTTAAGTATTTGAAACAAAACAACACTCCAGAAACTTCTTACCTTGCCAAAATGAAAGAAAAATGACTGACTTGACTGTGCAAAATTTCCAAACTGGTTCATAGGGGGACAAAAGCTCTTTGGTGGCAAAGTAAAATAGCACAAGTCCATACAATGCCAGAGAAACACTAATGTTGTAGATTATGGTGATATACAAATATCCACTGTCAGGTCTGGAGAGAGACAAATATAAATATCACTTCAAAAAATGAACACAGACAAAAAATATTGAAAAAAACCTATAATTTCAGGAGCAAAAAAAGTAAAAATGGCTTCTTATCAATGTATTTACTAACCAGCAGTTCATTGAGGATCATTATTCTTAAGTAACAAATATACAAGACAAATGACCACCATATTTTAATCGATGTGTGGTTTTATCAACTTCATATATTTCATGAAACAAAACTATTGAATTCTGAGGCCTCCAAGTCACTCGTGTTGAAATACTTAAATTTTGAACCATTAATTTCTGGTGCCCTCATCATTTTCCTATTATATTTTCTGTCTGAAAGATTAAATATTCAAAGTTTGAAATAACAAAATTTTATCTATCAAGTAGAGTTCTTTGATGGGATGACATTCAAGACCAGTGTTTTCAAATATATATAATTTCAATATTCCTTGATGGTATTTCAAGCACTCTGTTAAAATATCCTCTCAACAAAAGTTTAGTTCTAAAATACAAAGCTATTTATGAACTGGCATGATTTTTACATTGCTTTTCTATATTTAACTTGTTTACATGTTTTGTATCTATTACAATATTAACCCTTCTTGCTAACAAATGTTTGTAACTTGTGTTCTATATTTTCACACATCTTTATGTATAATTTAGTATATTCTTATGTTATAACAAATTTGGCTTATGTGACTGGGTAAAATCAAGTGCTTTACGTGTTGCCCACATGGTGAATGTACCTTACCTCCAATCTCCATCAGAGTACTTTCCAAATGGCTGCAGAATCAATGTTATCACTGACATCAGAGGTTTTACACCACAAAACTGAAGTGTGGCCTATAAGCAAAATGTTTTTATCAAAAAAAATTATTCATGTATTGTTTCAACTAAAACACAATTAAAAATTCCAACAAACTGAAATGGTCATATACATATAAATGTAAACAAAAATTCAACTTCTACCTTAAAAAATATCTTCACTTACTCCATACTAATACGTAAATGAATGTTTATCTGTGATTTACTGATATTTTAAATCATCATTCTGAATACATTATTATTATTATTTTTGTTTTTAAATTTTCTTTTATTTCCAACACTTAACCGGTATATCTGTAATCTTAAGTTCTATAATTTGTCTTTAATATTCCCTAATATCAATAAACTTGTAATAATTTTTATAGTTTTCTTATGAATTCTTACTATATTGCACAGAAAACTAAATGATAATTAGAAATTTAGTATTTTATCTATAACAAGGCAAAACCATACATGATGTCAATGACCCCCACCTCCTTCCCCGTTTATTTTATGAAAATTTAGTATCTGATCGTCCGTCAGGTAACCTGATATGTAAACTGTTCAGTCATCCTACATTCAGGAAACAAATGTTTGGAAGAGTTTTTACATCTTTATATTCATTAGCATTTCAATTCAATATGGAGTATGACCAACATAAACAACAAAGACAGCCTAGCAATGATGCTGCAAGATTGAAATCAGTCTAAATACGGTCTTGATGTGTCTTCAACCAATTTCTGAAAAGAGTTGTTCCAAGGCATCCTTGACAACGCAAAGAATCTTCCAAGAACATTCCATACAAACTCAATGGGATTGAAACTTGGTGGGAATGCAAAGCCATTGTGACAGCACAAAATATCATAGAATATAGTAAGTAACTGTACCATTAATTTTCGTTTTTTACTGAATTTGCATATAAAACTGTGGATTGATATATCCACTAACATTTATTCCTGTTCAATCATATTTCCATCAATGCCATATGAATATGGGATCTTAACTGACTTCAGATTCTCTCCTAATGAGTAAATGTCTGTCAGCTGACTGCAGAGTGAAGCATAACTCATCAACAGATAGAATACTGCTCCAAATGTTAGTCTACTGAAAATGTTCTTGGCACCATTGCAAGCAAGCTAGCTATTCTGTGCTTTGCTGAGAATGGAGTAGCTGAGAACTGTTTCATTGGTCTAGAAGAAGTTTCACATTCTGTAAGTGAAACTTGTAGCCAATTTTATGCTTTAATTAGTTTGCTTCTATTCATACTGGCTCTCCATCAAAATATCCAAATGTCTTCTGTCTAGCCATAATCAAAGAACAGTTTAGTGTACTAACCTCTTTAATTCTCTTCAAAGTTACAAATAACACAAGCATGATGACTATGGGATAACATGACTGATCATCAAATGCATAAAAAAGAATTGAGAGGTATTCGACTACATCTTAAAAATGTGATTTTGACTTTTCATAAATATAATATTACAAATACCACTCATCATTTGTTGCGTTCAGAGCATTTCTGATTATTTAAAATAAAAATAGCATGTCACAGAATTCTCATAATTTTTTTTAAATGGAAAATGAAATTCCATCTCATATATGATCTCATGCTCTTAGTAATGGTGAAATCCACACCAAATTGTTCCTTTTTTTTCAAGTTTACTATCATATAAAATGACAGGAAAATAGATATAATTAACCCACAGGTTAAATTGACAAGTAAGAAATTATTTCACTTGAAAGTACTCAATCCTTCGTAAATATCATATCTTTCTTTCTTTGCTACACGTGTCATACACATTTGCTTTGTGATTTTGTAAAAAAGACCTTGAACTGACATGTAGAACTAAAATTTGGTTGTATATTAAAAACATTAAATGGAAAATATGACACTTCAAGAAAATTCTTGTGAGCTGATCAGTTATACCTGCTTAGAGCATGCAACTGGTACTGTTGTGAGAGCTTACAAAGTAATGGTAAACATTTGCCAGTGGCCAAAATAAATAGTTAGTTTCAAGCCCAGCTTTACAACTGTGATTTTTCTATCCATTTCAACAGAATACAAGACACATATCACTTTATATATTCAGTTCACTTTTTCAAAGTTACAAAAAGTTGTATTTATGCATAATTAGAATTTCAAAAATTCGCCCAACTTTATTGTTATTATCTGGTCTATATGATATAGAGATGCACCACATGAGAATAAGCTGTAGCTAAAAATCTTGAAAGGCACACCAGAGGTCTTAAGGTCTCATCAAAGTCCAGGGATAAAGCCCTGGCAGGGGTTTCAAAGGTGGAATGTTGCCCCCTATATTTCAAGTTTGAAAAATACTGAAATTGTATCTTGTTGCAGTGTAATGTTGTAATATCAATCATAATTCAAAATAACTTACAGGAATGAAGGTTTTCATTGTATGTACATACAATACATATGTGTCTGTGTGTGTGTGTATGTATATATATATATATATATGTGTGTTAATTTATAGGTGTACATAGACCTAGTAACTGTTTTTAATGTTAACCTTTATATTGACATTTGTCAGTTTATCATTACAGCTATTAATGCCAAAACGTAATCATTAGACTATCAAGATAGATATCAAAAGTTGAAGTTACTGCTAATTCAACTTAACATTAAGACTACATGAACAATAACAAGAACATTCAATTTCACACTTAGTAGACTTTTAACATCAGATCTAATGTCTTTATAGTTAACAAATATATATATATATATGTGTACAGCAGATTTTCTACACAAAATAATATATAACAAGACTAGTAGGCACTTTAAATAAACCTGACTAGTTTCAAAATTATGTGCTCTAAAACACCATAATATCTTTCTACTGTTGACACTGATGAATATGCATCGAAACGATACATTCTTGCTGGTAAAACTTCATAAAAGCTGAATGCCTGCTTGTAGCATTCTTGGTCACTACAGTTCATTAGTCTATGCACAATGGTTATCAAGTCTGCTTATTACATAGTACAGTTCCTATGTATCAACTAATATCATAATAATCCTAAATCATGGCATCACTTTCGTTCCCACAGCTAATATTATTCAACTATTGTACTGCTACATCAGGTGATGGCAAAGACATAGCATCCATATAAGCTATGCCCAGGCCTACACATATCTTGACAGATAAAAAGTTATGAAAGATGGTGAGAATGACGCAAGTTATGTTAAATTACCATTATACATATATATATATATATTCTTGCTATTGGAGCCAAACATTTTTTTAAAAATTATGCACAAAACCAGTGAGCTATATCTATATACCTAATTACATTTGCAATTATACCACCTATTATGCACCCCCATTGAAAAAAATATCTCCTTGAATTTAGTGAATCTCAAGATTTACACATATGAGTATCTTGCAAACAATGCATGTTTCAAGTTTTGTGTTTTTACTTTGATAATTAAGACATTTAACCCAAATTAATACTTCTGAATTTCTGAAACTACTTGAGCTCTGTTAGAAATAAGTGAAAATCAAGATTTTACACATGTTATTAGTGTAGCTCAAGTGTACCTTGAATATGGGTTTCAAAGTTACTACAAATTTGGAGTAGCATTTCTAACATGCATAACCCTAAAAAAAAACATACATTCTATCAAAATCAGTAATATCAATCTATATACTTGTGAACAGTACCATAAGATATTCTTCAAGCACTATAAATGTAATGAAAAATTTACAAAAAGTTGGACTATATAGAAACAAACATATGGCTAGGATAGCCAGGAAAAAAGATGTTCTGAAATAAATTTTGTTTCAAGATCTTCAGAAGAACTGTACAAGTTTTAATTTACTTCTTTCTAAAAGTTTAAACAAGATTTATAGTAAGGGCACAAATAAAGCTTGCTAGAATTTCAGCATCATAAGGAAAATGTTAGTAAAGAGGAAAATAAAACAAATGAAAAATATAAAAAATAGTTTTTAAAAACTGTGTTATGTTGTTAATAATATACATATAAATTTACTAATGATATCAGTAACATTTCATACTTCCCACAGATTTGTTCTTTTTTACCTGTTTTTAGTTTTTAATTCAAACACAAATGCAGATTACTCAATTTTTATAAATTAGAGCCAAAATTCTCACATTATAAAATATCATAAATTGATTTTTACAAAATAATTTAAGTAATGCCTATTTTCTTTTTGCTGTAGTTTTGGTTTATGGTAGAAAATACACGTGTTTGTAAACTTTCAAAAACCAAATTGTAATAATGACTTATAAGTATTGTACCATTGACTATTAAATTTTTTTATAGAATTAATATTCACAGAAGAAAAATTACCATATACAGAAACTTTATGTTACTTTAAGAAACGTATTTGAAATAGATGTATTATTCCACATTTATTATTATTTATAAGTTTAACTTAGCATATTTCAATATTTATTCCCAAGTATTTAACAAAACTAGTACTGTTCAAAGAGAATACTGTAAAGTTACCTGTTTACAAAAACGTAAAAAGCCTATAGTGTAGGTCTTTCCAGTTAGACAACATGACCCATACCAAAAACTAGACCTAGAAAGAAATAGTTTATTACACAGTGTCTGTGATAAATTTATATTTCTAAGCAAGAAGAGTATCTATTATGTAGAATCTCTCTCACACACACACACGTTCAACAAGCATGAGACGCAACAACTCTAAAGCTTTTGGAAGGAGGAGGGAGGTCTTTCTTTTTTGAGTAATATGAGAGATATGACACATATTGGAAGTTCAGTGATGTCACGTAGCCATTTGTAAGAGTTGATCATTACAGTTTGTTAGTGTGTGTGTGTTAATTTACATATTTGTATGTGTAATTTAGAATAGACATAAGAAAAAACTAAATGGAAATTAAGAGCAGTTGTAATTAAATATAAATCACATTACAGAAGTTAAATTAGCATGGTAACAAAATACAGAAATTGTATATATTTCAACACTGGATATGAAAATAACTAATTTATTTTCCAACATCTGTTCAGACAATTTTTAATACAAATTGTATTAACATCTTACTACATATAGTGTATTACAGGTGTTCTGATTTAGTAGCTCTTATCAAATTACTCTTTGTTTGACTTATAAAAACAATTTTTTCACCTTCTCTGTTGTTTTGGTATATAAGTTAGTTAACTTTCAGTTATTACTTTTTTAACATTTTTCTTTAAGTTAATCTTTCTACTATGTCTGTTCAAAACCACTCTATACATAAACATGCACCACATGGATACAAATGTTACAATCCATACTTTTCATCTCCTGGAAACAATCCAATGTTGTCCCACCACTTAATAGTACTTCTATATTATCATAACATATGTGTAACTGTCACTCATCTCTAACAGCAGAAGATTTACTTTTCAAAAGCATTAAAGGATGGAAAGTGTACAGTAAAATAATTTCAAATTTGCAAATTTCCACTAACATTACAGTTGTTTACAACAGTAATAAATTACTGTAACATACGTGTTCCACACCTATAAAGTATAACAAAAAAAAGAAACTTTTAAATACTGTATTCAAAACATAAATTAATCAAATGTATAACTGCAAAAAGGTTAGTGTACTCTTTCCATTTATCTAATACAGTTGTATTATATGTTGTATAACGAATAATAAAGGTATATATAATAGTCCTTATTAAAATTATAAGTGGTAAAGAGGCCATTTTTAGGGTGCAAATTTTTAATCTGTATGTAGAAATGACTTATTATCAGAATTGGAATTTTTTATCTGAACCACACCATATGCTCATGTGGGCCAAGTGACCTGCCCAATGACCCTTAGTTTTCAAGTATAACAATCTTTAACTTTGAACTACTGATCAGAGAAAAAACAGGCAACCAACAATACATGCCATTACAAGGGCTTTGTCTTGCTCTTTCAACCGAATAAAAGGACCAACTATCACTTTAATAGCATGCCCACAGCTGAAAGTGCAGAGCATGTAGAGTAGCAACACACCTCAAACCTCAGATCCTTCAATCCACAGCCCAACAGGCTAACCACTAGGCCACACCCAACCCTATTGTAAAACAGAGAATATTTTGTCAATACTAAAAATATTTTAAATATATTTTATAATGACAAAATATCAATAAACTAGAAATGATGCCAGAAAATCTTATCACTGGGTAAATAACAAAAATTAGAAATTTGTTTAGAAATTAAGGTATTTTATTTAATTGCTTAGAGAAAAATAACCAGTTACAAAGTCAATCCATTTTAAAAAAATAATGTTTAATTTTCTTTGGTAAAATACACTGAATTTCAAATGAGCAGCAAATGACTTTTGGAGGTGAATAAAATTTACTTGTATAAAGTTAGTAGGGTTTGTATTTTTCAATGCAAAGATACACAAAGGGCTACATATGCTTGGTCCAACATTGTTGTAAATCCATAAATTTACCACTGACAAATTGGAGGACAAAGTTGGCATGGAGGATTTTTATTAAAAGATTTTGTTTAGATTTGGTAATTATTTACAAAAATTATCTATATTTATTCAGTTTTTCCAGATCACATGGATATATCAACAATTTTTTTTATGCATTTTCTAAAGCTTTGAAGTGATTGTTTATTTTAGCACAAAGACACACAATGAGCTATCTGCACTATGTCCATATCAGAGAACTGAGCCCTGGATTTTAGGTTGTAAGTCCATAAACTTGCTACTGACCCATTGGGGGGAAAAAGTTGAAATGAAAATGTAAGAGCAACTTCATCCTGTGAAGAAAAATACCCAAGTTTATATATATAATGTGTATTTACTCAATTTCTAAATGAACAGCACATTTATTTAAAATTGCCTAACAGATAACATATTGACTGCATGGATACTGCCAGTATTTAAAACAGCTTATTTAATTAGATATTATAGTGCAAAAATAGATTAATTCTTATGAATGGATAACCCCATACTTAATTAACTACTCCATAAAGACATTTATGTGTATCTGATGTTTTATTTATTATTCTGGACTCTGGGACCAGACTGAACCAATACCAGTGAAATAAAGCAACAAACTGTTTCTCTCCTTAAACAGTTATATCAAGTGCTACAGAAAGAAACTAGTTGGAAACCTATTCTGATAATAGCTGAGAACAGGAAAAACGACTCAGATGAATTTCAATAAGTTGGGTAAAGTTAACTGACTGAGAAAACACATACATCTGTACTCAACCTTGATCGGTAAATCACCTTCTTCCTGAATTTTATTTCAAAAATATTAAAATGAGCTGAATATCAGTGAAACAGGAAATTAATTAATCTACAAAGCTGAAGTATTTAAAAAAAAACTTGGAATAATAATTGTCATAAGTAGATGCATGATAAGTATTCTCATTAAAGAGAGCAATATCCCGGCTAACAATTACAAAATGTATGATAATATAAAACAAATTTAGCAAATAAGAGACAATTAAATTACTTTGCTACAATGGTCTCACTGTAGTTATTCTATACCTTAAACAACAGTCTTATAACTTACTAAGTTTACAACAAATAATAGAAAAAAGTCTGTTCCCCTTTGGATCATCCTCATCTTTAATTGTATGAAAATGACTTCAATTCTAAAACTTATCCATGGTTTGAAAGATATAAGCAAAATGAACAAGATCTTTGCATAATCTTCATCAATGACCATGAGTCACTTTGCCCTTTAAAGACAGAGTTCCACACTGCAAAGAATGCTGCTATTTAGTCTGATGAGTGAAAAAACTGTTGAGTGAATTGATCTCACAATATGCTCCTGCATATACTTTAAAACATTCAAATTCTGGGAACTTGTGTGATAAATAAGGGATCATCTCTACTCAAGTTGGCCATGTCTGTCTCCTATCTAGCAAATTTCTATAAAGATTGGCAAAACTTCATAAAATCGAAGGAGTTGACTGTACAATGTTTATCACTTTAGAAACTGAGAAAAAATATATAAAATTGACATTACCCCAAGAAAAGAAACTTCAACTACAGAATCATGCTTTTACATATTACATTAGAAACACTGAAAGCCCAGTGACAAGTGTATGTACATTCCTCAAGAAGAGAGAAAAATTATATTTTGGTTAACACTGAAGCAGTACTACAGTTCATAATGTGGAATGTTTTTTCAATTCTTTATTATTAGAAAGAATTTTTACGTTAGTAGAATGCTCTTAAAAAGCTATTTTACTATCATAACATTTGTATCTTTTATGGCTTAGAAATAACATTCAAGTTAACTATATACAAAAAAATCTTGTATTTGGTTGGGTAAGGATAGCCACACAGAATTTAGTAGTTATATGAAACAGGATACATCAGCAATGTTTAGTTAATGCAAACATACTTTTCTATTGTTACACACGCATCTTAGAGTTAGGAAAGAGTTGAATAAAAAAAAAAAAGGTTACAGGTGAATTAAGCACTTGCTTGAAGAACATAAACACATTCCACTTTTATCGCATGGTAGCTACCCTAATGCATAGTTGACCAGTATGTTTATCTTATGGTCAAACTTTCAATTGAGAGGATATAGTGAAGAAGTATCAAATCACTGAGAAAGATCAAAATTGTAACCTATTCTGTCAGTGGGATTAACGACAACTCATTAACACTTGGTTGATAACAAGCAAAATAATGAGGCTTGAAAATCTTAAGAGATAAAGTGGTGACTAAAGTCCAGATCAACAAAGCTAATGATCTTATGGAAGGGGACAAACACCCAATTAACTCTTTTGTAACCATTTTGTGCTTGTTATAGCTATAACTTTTAAATTAGTAAGCGTATCTTAACGAAATTTTTTCAGATTATCATTAAACATTACAAGGCTTTTATACACATAATATCAGAATTTTTCAATTAATTTTTTTCTCATGCCTTTTTTCTTTTCGCATGTTGATTATCCTAATGCAAAATAATTTTGATTTTAAGATTAAAAATACTTTTATGCATCAGAAAATTTTCAAATTTCACATGCAAAATCTTTACAATGCTTAGACAATTATCAAATGTTTTTTAAGAAAAATTGTTATATTTTAACTGTTATTTTCACTAACGAATCTCTGTACAGGTTCGGTCAATTGGACCACCATAAAAAATTAGGAAATAAATATAAATTATGCTTTTTTTTCTAGAATGACTACATATTATAACACAAAAACACAAATGTTTATTCTAAATAGCTTGAATGTCATAACATTACACATTTCTATATATATATATTTATTGTTTTTTATTATATTGACATTCTAGCTGTGCCTGGCTAACATTACAGAAATTGCAATGATGTGGCACTCATGTTACCATATCCAAGAATATAAAACTTGCCTTTAGTCTTTACAAAATGACCTGTCTTGGCTGTGTTTTAGTGGACTAGTATTTTGTAAAATACAGTCACATTTCAGTTATAATACATTATATATGTATATACATTATTAGTATTTACAAAGAAGTTCTTAAACTTATTTTTTTTAAAACAGAACAGTAAATAAAGAAGTATAGAAAAGAATTATCTCATCTAGTTACAAACTTTGTACTCCTTTGCTGCTTGCCATAGGCTGCTAGGCCTTATCAATTTTGCATGTGGAGGATGTGAAACAAATATTTTTTAGGCTTTAGAT